GATGGAATTTGTATTGCCAGTGTCATCAGAGGAGGCAAGTGATAGAGGTGCCGGGCTCACAGACTTTACGATAAATGTTATTGCCAAACATACTAAGAGCTGGATGGATGTTGAATAGAAGCCTGCAATAATAAATGATTGGCATGTCAGATTTAACATTACAAAAACAATCACCTTACATGCTAAGTTGCACTCTCATTCTGCTTAAACATTCTGGCAAATGATAGCTCATATAGAAAATGTGATTTTCATTACAGATTATTTAAAAATTGAAAGCCAAACACCAGACATTTTTCATATAGAGTTGGGAAAACTATTTGTCAGGTTTTTATTTCTGACTGTGACTCCCTTGGGGAAATTTTCCCTTATTTCCTGTCCATGTTACCCTGGGACAGGAAGGCACAGGCAGGGATAAAAAATGACACCCTTCCCTACTGTATGAAAATATTTGTATGTTTGTGTTGCTTTGGAGGAATTTCCCATCTCTTTCTCAATGGGTAAATTATTAGCAATAAAATTCAGAGGCTATAATCCTTTCCCTGTCTATACAAAATACATTTAAGTTTCAGTAGAAGTTGGGCTTTAGGGCCCATGTAGAATGTTGCTTTTTATTGCAAATGCTCTACGGCGCCAAACTGCATATTTCATGGTTTGTAATAATAAAGATAGTGTATGTTCTCATCTTAGTGCTGCAATGTGATGCTTTTAGAAAAAAACATGTTCTTTTTTTTCCCACGTTTTAGAGCATTAGGGGGGCCCATAGAAGTTAATGTCAGATCTTCAAAATAGACGTTGATGTCAGATTTTGCAAAATAACATGCGCTTGATAACAGACATGGCTATTAACACTATCCACCCCAAATTTTAAATTAAAAAATGCATTAAAAATGCACATCAAAACTCACATCAGTGCACAAAGTAAAAGCACTTTGAAGCATGACAGTGCACCTGCCTAATGCTACAAAAAACACATCTAGGCCCATGCATGATCTCAGTAGACCCTTATGGGTTGTATGAAATATAGAGGTACATATTCAATGACTACTGAGTCATTATTTGTTGTCATAAACTGGTACTATATATCAGTGGTCTCCAAACTACGGCTCGGGGGCCGGATGTGGCCCTTTGCTTGCTTTCATCTGGCCCTTGGGTCATTATTCCCCCCACTGTCAGCAATGGTGAAGCATAGTTCCTGCCCCGACACCTACAATGGGGCACTATTCCTCCCACTGACATCAATGACGGGACACTATTCCTCCCACTGACACCAACGATGGGGCACTATTCCTCTCACTGACACCAATGATGGGGCATTATTCCTTCCTTTGACACCAATGATGGGGCACTATTCCTCCCACTGACACCAACAAGGGGGACACTTATTACTCCCACTGACACTAAGACATTTTCTACTCCATCTGGCCACAGTCTGGCCCTCCTAAAGTTTGGAGGACACTAAACTGACCCTTTGTTTAGAAAGATTGAAGACCCCTGCTATACTGGAAGGCTGTTGAGCTTTAATAATTCACCACAGAGTAACAATAATAATAATAACAATATATATATATATATATATATATATATATATATTAAACAAAAATAGATTTTTTCCAAGCATTCTTTCATTTTGTTTCCTACCCTAAAATATGCTTGCTAAGGATTATGACTGGCAGAGTTTGAGATGGCTTAGTTTCGAAGTGATACTATTTTTATTGGCTACAAAATAATAAACATATGGGCATTCAGTGCACTCGGTTCCTACTTCAGACACATAGGTGTGCATTTGTAATATTTGTAACAAATTAGACAGTATTTGTATGTCTTCTCTTCCTGCAAATGTATTCCTGACTAATGATACAATACCTTTTTATGTTTTAGCTAAGGAATGACTCACTCATATTTCCTTACTATAGTGTTTATATTGAAAGGCTGCTGGATGTTAAAATTGGACTTTGACCTATATTTATAAGAATTGAGTAAGATTGTATAGCAGGGACACAGCAGACAGGCATTTATTACATTTCCTAATATGTAAAATTATGCATATTCTAAAACCTTATTTGTTGTACTTGTAGCACTACTATGTACTATAAGCATATGCTGACAGCTGCATGCTACATAGAAATCACCCCCACATTTTTGCAGCCCAGACAACTATAAAAATTGGGATTTATACCCTCATTAGGTATAACAAAAAAAACATCCCATCCCCCCCCTAAAAAAAAAAAGTAAATCAAATAATTGTGGCAGCAGGTTGAGCAGTGTAAGTATTCCAAAGCTAAAAACCTATAAGCAGGCTGACAGGAGCACCCCCATTGACCTCTTGGATGTACATGTAGACCCCTAGCCATTTAGTTTAACATTAGTGCTCTAAATCATTACAGAGCAGAAGATGGGAGTGCTTACAAGAGCAAAGATCACGTAAAAAACCACAAAACCATAAAAATAGAATGCAAAAGTTAATGTTCATGGTATGTTCCCTTTTACAGTCATTTGTGCATAGTCCTACTTACTTTAACATAACCTGTAGCCTACAGGGTTACAGCCTCATAAGAGAGAGACTATTACATAATGCATTCTTCAGCAGCAGCCTTTTCAAACCACCATGGAATGTCAGTGTGAGACACTTCTCAGTCTGACAGCATGTTTCACTTACTTGTGCCAGCCATTTGCCTTGCGTTTTCCTTTTCCCTGTATGACTGTGTCTGCTGTTATCTGAGCCCGAATGTGCCCTTCTTGTGAATGAATGATCTCCATACTGTCTCTTGTATTTATTGAGAGCAATGGGAAACTCCAGAATAAGACTGCTTTGCAAAAGAGAACAGCCCACAATATATTGTGTAATTTCACCACGCAGCAAGAAGTATTATTTGAAATGGTATTCAAATACAGATGTATTCTCCTCATTTACAATATTTCATCATTCATAAAAAAAATTATCAAATTATTAGCTGAACACATAAAATTTAGGATGAAATGCTGCATGATTACCAACTAGATTTCAGTCCAGCCAATATCCTTACATCAATGACAATTGACATTATTTTATTCTTTTTCATTTCTTACTGTTCCATATTTTGATGATTGTAGACTATATACAGATGCTACATGTAGTGGCCACTAGTATATAGGGACATGTTGTATTATTAGTATTTCTCCTTAACCACTTGCCTACTTCCTGGCCAGGCCAATTTTCAGCTTTCAGCACTGTCGCACTTTGAATGACAATTGCGCAGTCATGCAACACTATACCCTAATTAATTTTTTGAGACAAATAGAGCTTTCTTTTGGTGGTATTTAATCACCACTGGCTTTTTTTATTTTTTTTTGCTAAACAAACAAAAACAGACCAAAAATTTAGCGGGACAATTTTTTTTCTTATATATTGCAAATAAGTAATTTTTCATCTTCACTGACGTTCACTGATGAGGTTGCAGTGATGGGCACTGATGAGGTGGCACCGATGGGAACTGATGAGGAGGCACTGATGAGGAGGCACTCATAGACTGCACTGATAGGCAGCACTGATTTACACTGATGAGGAGGCACTGTTTGGCACTCATAGGCTGCCCTGATTATCAGTGTAAATGTCCCCTGTGTGAATCGCTGGTTATTGGCTCTCCTCTCTCCATGCTGTGACAGCGTGTGAGGAAAGGACTGCTGATAACCAGCAAGTCTGTTTACAATGTGATCAGCTGTGATTGGACACAGCTGATCACATGGTTAAGGGTCGCTGTGATTGGCCCTTTACTGCGATCTGTGATCAGCTGTGTCCAAAGGACACAGCAATCACAAAGCATACCTAATGCATGCCTGGGGAGACAGGGTTCTGGGAGGATGTCAATAGATGCCCTCCCAAAACTGGATAAAAGTGCTGTAGCCATCTTTCAGCTATAGCACGATCAGAAAGTGGTTAAAGGATAAGCTCATCTATCAAAAGAAAAATAATGTACGTATTTCTGCCGATAAAAAATATGTGAATTAATTATTTTCTTTTACTGGAGCCTACAGAGCATTGCACCCTCAATCAGTAGATCACATGTGCAATGGCAGGCTCCTGCACAGTCTTCCTCTAGTTTTGTGCCCCTATCCCTGTGGGGCTTTCAGTTACAAAGCTAGAGTAAGAATGAATGAACTACAATCATGCATAGAAATGAGCTCGCAGCCCATTCAAACTACAAATAGGTCTGCTGTTGTTGCAGATGGGACTTGCAGTTCATTGATTCACAGAACTCTGTGAATGAATGACGTGGTCTTTGGGTAGAGTCTCACACAGCCACACTGTTCTAAAAAGAGACAGCGAGTGTGGGGAGAGAAGATCTCCCACCCACTGTCACAAAGCGGGGAGCACTGCTGTGGGGAGGTGGGCGCATAGGAGCATGTTGCATGTTACATCATAAATATGGGTGTAACATGTAACATGCTTCTAAATGTGAACTTATCCTTTAAGCTGTATTTCTGCTTTTGCAGCCAAATTGGACAAACACCCACTTTACAGTATATTTGTTACATGTTCCCATTCACATAGTATAAATAAAAGCTTAAATAGATAAAAAATGCTGCATTCCTTATTACTTGCTCTTTTCTGAAAACTCAAAAGGGTTAAAGTGGTTGTAAGCCTCTGAAATGAAAAATGGACGGAGCATCTAAAATGTGTACTTACCTCAATTCAAAGAATCTAGTGTGAATAATGTCTCCGCTCTCTTCCCTTTGCTATCTGCGTTAGTCATTTCTGACAGATTATCCCCAAACCCCAGAATATCTGGAGAAGACCCCCCCAGCACATAGAAGGTGATTGACAGCCCCAGCTGTGCATGTTTCCTTATGAGCAGGGGCAGACTGACAACTCATGGGGCCCCCGGGGCAATAGGGGATCATGGGGCCCCTATATTCTTGCCCAAACTCAAAAAAGCCTATGAAAAAGGTACCAGGGTCATCTCATGGGGCCCCCTACTGACCCCGGGCCCTCGGGCAGTGCCCGAGTTTCCAAATGGTCAACTGACTGACAACTCATGGGGCCCCCGGGCAATAGGGGATCATGGGGCCCCTGTGTCCTTGCCCAAACTAAAAAAAGCCTATGAAAAAAAGGTACCAGGGTCATCTCATGGGGCCCCCTACTGACCCCGGGCCCTCGGGCAGTGCCCGAGTTTCCAAATGGTCAGTCCGCCCCTGCTTATGAGACTGTGTAAAGGGGGGGGGGGGGTGTCCTGTCTCTTCACTCAGGTCTCAGATTACACTAAGCTCTGCGCCAATGCTGTTTAGTGTGAGATGTTAGATCCCCACCCTCTGTATGCTCGAACTAAGAAAAATCCTTTTATCTGTGTGTTTTTGAAGGCTGTGAAGGTCTGCAGGCCAACATGTACAACTTATGTATGATAATTTGTTTCATGTGTTTCAGTAAGGATAGTCACTTCACTATGTATATGTAAGGGTTTACAGCCACTTTAACAACTGACTTTGACTGTATGAAAATATGCGTTGGTGTCCCACTGAAAGGCCCCGATCTCTCCTTTCTGATCATGTGACTGCCGTGACATACAATCATGGTGGTCACATGACCCTAAATCCTGCCCCGACTCCCAGCGTCAGAAGCCCCTTATAGGGCCCTGGAGGCATGTTAAGGGGTTAATGAGGGAAAGTGAGCTTGTCCTCACTTTTTCTTTCCTTAATTTTTTCATTATTTTTACGAATGATCAAGCATGTTATATGAGCAAACAATAATTTAATATATTACAGTTTACCAGTTTCTTAGATAGGGTGGCTGCATATGAGAAATGAAGGGGGTTCATCTTGGGAGAGGGGATGGGAGAGATTTTTGATGGGAAGGGGGATTTGAGGAGTGAAAGAGGCAGTATGGAGGGGATTTGTGCTTGGAAGGAGGATTCAGTGGGGGATGATTTGTGCTAGAAGAGAGAGAAGCAGGAGGTTGAGGAGAAGGATAACTTCTGCTGGGGGGGATTTGGAGGAGTAGAGGATTTGTACTTGAAGGGGTATGGACAGGTGTTATGTTGGGAAAAGAAGATGATTTGTGTTAGTAGGAAGGACGGGGCAGGAGGCAGGATGTGTGAGGGGGAGATTTGAGTGGGTAGTGGAGGATTTGTGCAGGGAGGGGAAAAGATTTGTTCAGATTATTGAGTTTTTTTGAGGGGCAAGTGTGGATTTTTTACTGAAACTGTAAAGCGTGGGAGAGTTTTGTTTGTGGTATTGCACTCTCCTGACCCCTACATTGTAGATTAGAAACCACTGACTCCTACACTATTCATTTTGTACTCCTGGCCATTACTATGCATTACACAGTCCTGCCCCCTGCATTCTGTGCATTACATACTCCTGACCCCTGTGTGTGTGTTGTGTATTCCTAAACCTGGCACTGACTGCATTACATACACCTGACCCTTGGGTTAACAGATTTTGAAATATTTCAATTAAAAATAACGGAAAATTAGAAAAATAGTGTGAGAGAGTAGAGAGGAGGGCCTGGCAGTGAAAGGGTTTAGGGACTGACATCTCAAAAAAAATGATTAACATTTTTCACACAAAAGGCAAAAGCCAAAGCCATGATAAATACTAAGTTAACAATACATGAATTTTATACAGTGAAATGTTGAACAAAAATATGTTTCTGGTTTTCCGGTCTAATTTTACTAATATAAAAAGGACAATAGATTCAATATTTGCTTGAGGATCTTGGCTGTAGTGTCTCATCAAGTGCTGCAACTCTCTTATTGTGTAAATGCAGACTTGCAGCAACTAATTATTCATGAAGTATGATGACAAAAACTGAGGCAAAAACTCCACCTCTTTTTGTTCTTCGTTTTTTCATTTCTCTTCTCCATGTTTGGACAGTCAGACAATCAGAGAACTAGAATTTCTAAAAAGTGGTCAGCAAAGGAAGGCTGCTTTCTTTTCTCCATTAAAGCTGAACTCTAGGCAAACATAAAAGACACAAATGATGGCAATTGTATAATCATTAGTACTTTATTATATTCTTTTGAAATATTTTTATTGTTTTCTAGCAAACGAAAGTACAAACATTTTTTCAATTCAAAGGTCAGGGAGCAAGCTGCAATAAGTGGTGAATCTCAGAACATGTACAATACATGCACAAAACAGACAGTGAAAAAGCAATAATGAACGGTGTCACCTGGCATCCTACCACTCAATATGTGGTGGAAGTTATAAGTACCTATTTGGTCCTCCAACATCCTAGGCTCTGAGCTGGTAGATCCAATAGCCAGTGTTTATCTTTCAGCAGTTTTCAAAAAACCATAACATTGAAAAGATTACCTATAATCCTCTACTGTATAAAGATTAAAACTCACAATAATGAAAAAAGAAAAGGGAAGTAGAAGGATGGGAAGAAGTGAACAAGGAGGAGAGGAGGAATATGAGACACAGGGCATGCCTGGGAATGTCTTCAGTCTATTCATTCAAAAGCAATGATTAAACATTTTTTGGTACATTTATATTGGTTACTGAGTGAATCAAAGTGAACACTCTAGTCCAAAACTTTTGGGCAACTTCATCAGATACAATACACGGTACCTTCCTGTCTACATCATCATATTCTGTTTTTAATTACTTTAATGATTTTTTGTCTGGTCTTTGTAGTACAGTTTTTTTTTTCTTCTAGGAGATTTTATATATAATAAAGTTTTTACATATTGTATGTAATTTGGGGTTTTGTTTTTTTTTTCTTTTTTATATAAAAGAATGATTATTGGCCATCCAGAAAGTATTCTTTTTGAGGGCACTAGCTTTTTTTAGTTTGACATCATTAAATGTAGTTATAAATGCGGCAGTGTAAGTATCTGAATTTGACCTGGTGTGAACATCTTCAGGCCCAGACTGGAACATAAAATAGGCCTGGGCATTATAGACTGAGCAGCCAAGGAACCCGGGAGGGGGAGGGTGGGGGTGTAAGGGATGGGGGGTAGGCATTCGTGGGGGTGGTTGGTGACGGGATGGTCACGGACCTCCGCAATGTAATGTAAAAGGGCACTGTGATATAAAAGGGAACTGCACTGTAAAAGGGCACTGTACTGATTACAGTGCAGTCCCCCTAGCATTTCAATGCCCCTAGCAATCACAGTTCCCCCATCACAGTGCCCCTTACAGTTATGCCCCCTTTTCTCTTAATCAGAGTGCCCCCTTTTACTCTCTGCCTCCGCTGCACAGTCCTACCTTCGGCAAAGAGACATCCCCATATATACAGCAAAGATACATCCTAATCTAGCAAGAGAAATCCCCATCCAGAAAAGAGACATCCCCATCCAGAAAAGAGACATCCCCATCCAGCAAATTGACATCCATATTCAGTAAAGAGACATCCCAATCCAGCAAAGAGACATCCCCATATAACAAACGGACAACCCAATTCAGCAATGAGACAGCCAAATTCAGCAACAAGACAGCCCAATCCAGCAAAGAGACAGTCCTATATAGCAAAGAGACTGCCCAGTCCAACAAAGAGGCAGTACCATTCAACTGAGAGACATCCCAATCCAGCAAAGAGACATTGCAGTTCAACAAAGAGACAGCTCCATATAGCAAAGAAATGGCCTAATCCAGCAATGAGACAGCCAAATCCAGCAAAGAGAAATCCCCATATAGCAAACAGATCACCCAATCCAGCAATGAGACAGTTCCATATAGCAAAGAGATGGCCCAATCCAGCAAAGAGACATTCCAACCCAGCAAAGAGACAGCCTAATCCAGCAAAAATACATCCCAATCCAGCAAAGAGACAGCTCCATATAGCAAAGAAATGGCTCAATCCAGCAAAGAGGCATCCCAATCTAGCAAAGAGACAGTTCCATATAGCAAAGAGATGGCCCAATCCAGCAAAGAGACATTCCAACCCAGCAAAGAGACAGTTCCATACAGCAAAGAGATGTCCCAATCCAGCAAACAGACTGCCGTATCCAGAAAAGAAACATCCCAATCCAGCAAAGAGACAGCCCAACCCAGCAAAGAGACATCTCCATATAGCAAAGAGACATCCCAAATCCAGAAAAGAGACAGCCCAATCCAGCAAAGAGACATCCCAAACCAGCAAAGAGACAGCCCAGTACCTTCTTCCCCATGCACACCATTGCTACAGAATGGGAACTGTGGCTGAAAACACACACTGCGCTCACCTTCTTCCCCTGTGCAGCTGTCAAGGTTAGGATAGAGCCTGTCTCATGCAGTGTATTTCCAGTGGATAGCCTGGGAGGTATGTGTCCCCTGCTGGCAGGTCTTCTTCTTCTGCACCTCCTAGATTGCTGGTACCAGCCCTGCTGTAGGCATGACCGCATAGCGGGAGGCGAGCGGAGGCCACGGTCTGTGTTAACCCTGCCCAGACCGTAGTCGCTGTTTACCTCCTGCTATACGGCCCAATCATCAACAGGCCAATCTTCTTAGGACACATGACCTAGTGGCCCTGATCCCTATGGCCAGTCTGGGCCTGAACATCTTGTAGTCCTTGTACAGCAGGACTGGAGTGTGAGGAAAGAAGCAGCACATATTGCCAATCAGGGCTGAAAAAGATACTGATAGGAAGAGAAAGCAGAGCAACAGTTTGCTCAGCTTCTGCCAGCCTAAAAGCTCCCTCTGCACCCAGAAAGCTTGAGAAGTTTCTGGATATTAGGTGTGGAGCTATGCAGATGACAGCATGAATATTGATACGGCCTAGCCTAACCCAGAGAGACTGGCTCTGATGGCATGCTGGGTAACTATATATATTCAGTGAGCACACTGGGCTCTGGGTCTTTCCTGTATAGGATTGTTCCACCCTCCCAGGCAACTACTTCTGTGTGGTCTTAGGTGGGTGGCCTGAGAGCCTGAATGCTGAGACCCAGGTTGTGGTATGCTGACTAAGGTATTGTCTACTAAAGATCTGGTCTGCTATCAGGACGGAAGGCATCCAGCTACTCTTGGGCTTCGTAAGCACAGACACTCCTAAAGGATCTTAAAGCTGTGGGTCCAGCTAAAATGGGACACTGGGTGGTCTTCCAAAGAGCTTTGCCCATTTAACCACTTCCATACCGGACACTTTTACCCCCTTCCTGACCAGGGCAATTTTCAGCTTTTAGCGTTATCACACTTTGAATGACAATTGCGCGGTCATGCAACACTGTACCCAAATGAATTTTTTACCATTTTTTTTAGATAAATAAAGCTTTATTTTGGTGGTATTTATTCACCACTGGGATTTGTATTTTTTTTTGCTATGTAAATGAAATGTCCAAAAATTTTTTAAAAAAGTGTGTTTTTTTTT